AATTTAAAAGGTATTTTCAATCAGATCATACATATGTATATACGTACAATACGAGAGGAAATGAGGAATTCAAGCACTTCGAGAATTACGAAAGACATACAGAAATGGGCCCAAGATAAAAGTGGTGCATCCCATGTGCTGGCGGCCCAACCGGTCAACGGTTGGTGGGCTCTACATGCTGTGACGTATCACTAGGGATATTGGCATGGTCTGGCCTTCAATTTTTGTTTTCCTTTTTTTTTTTTTTTTATCTTTGAAAAAAACCATATCTCCATGTTCGCATGTTCTATTCCACGCCACTTCGCAAATGATTTTCATTCCTTAATTTTTGTTTTCCAAATATAAATACCTTAATTCATTAATACATAAGTAGTACATTTTTTTAATATTTACAATCAAAGTGTTCTTAATTTAATTAATTTTTTATGTAATTTAAGATTAATTTTATCTTAAGTGATTTTAAGAGTGTATTTCTCATATTAATTTAATATATTTAAAAAATTAATTTTTTATATAATAATCTTAAATTTTAAAATTAAAATTTAATATATAAATAATATTTATTTATTAATAAATTTATTTATTAAGAATTGTAAATGAGTAGAGCATGAATACCTAACATTTAGCCTAAGAGAAAGTATTGGACTGCCTTTTAGACTTTAGTCATTTCAATTAATTCTTGTCTTGTACTAACACTTTGCACACATATAAAGTCAAGATTGAGTTAAAAATTCAGAAACAATGTTTTTGATCCGCCAATTAAGGAGAGAATATTTGCTTGTTTTCATGGTCATCATATATGTTTGAGACATGTTTTATGGGATTGGGATTGTACACGTTTTAGGCAAAGGGACATGATATTTGTACATTTTAAATTTTTAATGAATTTGGACAAAAAACTCTGCCTCTCATGTTTCAACTTCCCATGGATTCTTGTATCATTTTAGACATTCGTGAAAAGGATAAAAAAGGGGTGAGATTGCTGAGATCTTTCTTGCTGAAAATGAAAATGTTGTTCTTTGTGTGGTGTGGTGTATAGGTTATAAATATAATAAATATATATTTTTATTTTAAATTTATATATATTTTTTTAATTTTGGATATATAATGAGAAATAATTATTTTTTATTTTTTATTTTACTCTACTTGTATATTATACGATTTGAATTCAAGATTTTTTATTTTTAACGGAAGAAAATAATCACTAAATTATTTAATTCGTTGATAATTTTAAATTTATATTAAAAATAAAAATTAATTTTTAATTTATTAATTATTTAATTAAATTTGTTCATTTAATATTAATATTAATCTCAAATTATATATTTTATATATTAA